CTCATTTAACAATTATTTTAGCTTTACAGATAGATATTTCCATTTATCAGATAATAAACACTTTCCCCCACATTATTCTTCATCCTTCTCACACTTACCAGGGCAATAAGTAGATCATGATATGTGCAATGATCAGAGTCTTAGAAGGGTAAGGACATTGGTCCAATTTATCTCTAAGGCCTTTTGTGAGTAGTTTGGTTGTTTTTAATGACTGCAGTATTCTGATTCCTTGAGGGACTATGTATAGATACTCATTTTAGATGTCTTAACCACTATTTGGAGGAAATTTAACATATGGAATCATTATTGATCATTCTGTCAGCTCAGTATTGACTTGTAATCAATTATATCTACTGGTGAAATCATTTACCAAATATTCCATTATTATAAAAGTAAAGTTACTCTAGTCCCTAAAATAAACTCCAAAGTAAGTCTTACTCTCCTACTAACTTCCACTATAAAACTAGAGATGAGTTATATTGCCAAATGACAGTTCCAAAAAGACTACATCAAAAACCTTGGACAAAAAAACAATAAAGAGAGTAGGCAACCCTATAGCAGTCCATTCTGCTTCCTGGTAAGCTGAAAATTAGGTCGCTATTACTACCAGCCATATGGCTCACCCTCACAATCACAAGGATGTCTCTCTTGTTAATGAAGTTACTTATCTCTATTCTTTGGGATTTTTAAACTATATCATCTTTCTGTTTTGATCTGGGCACTTTTACCTTTATTTAGGGATTCTATGGTAGCAATATACTTCACCAGTGGGTGTCAAATTTCAAACTTTTCTAACAGAGAAGTCCCATGTTAGAGGCTTCTGCTTATATAAAATATTATCTATCTTTGAATTTAAAATTCTCTATGAAAGTTCTGAAAACTCTGTTTTCTTTTACAGTGTAAACATATATGTAAAACTGCGTTTCAGGTCAAAATTAGATGCTTATGGTAAACAGAATATTTTATTCTTGGAAGAAAAGCTGTACTGATTTGACAGTGTAAATTTTCTCAAAGTGAAGTGTATAGTATCTAATATAAACTGACTTCTCAAAAACAAAATTCAAAACACAACTTAACTACATACAGAGATAAACAAAGACTTCCTTTTAATCTTCTTTTATTTATTTTTTAATTTGGTACCAGGGATCGAACTTGGGCCCTTGCACTTGCAAGACAGGTGGCAGAACCACTGAGCCAAGTACCCAGCCCTAATCTTCTTTTAAATAGTAACTGTACGTATATTCAATATGATTTTAGATACAAAGCCAAATAAATATGTAGGTTTATCAATACAGATAAAGAATAGAACAAAATAAAGGTACCTGTGGGGATCTGGTTTCAGGATCCTCACCCCCCCATTCCAAAATCCATGGATGTTCGAGTTCCTTGTACAAAATGACATAGCATTTACATATAACCTATACATACTATCCTGTATACTTTAAATCATCTCTATATTACTTAAAATAATGAATATAACATAAATGCTATGTAAATAGTTGCTATACTGCATTGTGTCTAGGGAATAATGACAAGAAACAAGTCTGTAAATATTCAACACATTTTTTATATTTTTCTATATTTTTGGATGCTTAATCAATGTATGGAGAACTCACAGATAAGGAGATTTTTACTATATTCCCAAGTGTTAACAGGAGTTTTTTCAGAATGGTATAATTATTAATGACTTGCATTCTTTAAACTTTCTGAATTATTAAAATTTTCTTCAATAAATGTAAATATTATGGTCAGCGTGTGTATGTGCATGTGTGTGTGTAAAATTTATTTTCCATTTTTGTTAAAATATACATAAAAATTTACCATTTTAATAATTTTGAAGCATTCAATTCGGTGGCATTATATTCAGTGTTGTGAAAACCACTACTATCTAAAATTCCAGAACCTTTTCATCACTCCAAATGAAAACCTACCCATTAAGCAATTAATTCCTATTCACCTATCTCCCAGGTTCTGGCAACCAGCCCTCTACTTTCTATCTCTATAGATTTCACCATTCTGGATATTCATATAAATGGAATCGTACTATGTGACCTTTTATGTTTGACTTCTTTCACTTAGCATGTTTCTTAGGGTTCATTCATATTGTGACATACATTAGTACTTCATTACTTTTTATGGCAGAATAATATTCAACTGTAGGTGCCAGGGATCTAGCTCAGTAGTTCCGCCACCTGCTTTTCAAGCACAAGGTCACCAGTTTGATCCCAGGTACCAAAAAAAAAAAATCAACTCTATAGATATATACCTTTCTTTTTATCCATTTATCTAGTGACAAATATTTAAGTTGTTTCCACCTTCGATCATTCTCATTATAGTGATTCTGATTATAAATGCTATAAACATTTGTGCCTAAGTTTTTGTTTCAACACTTTTTAAAATTTCTTTGGGGCATGTATATAGGTGTAGAATTATATCAATATAATTTTTAAATGTCATTAATCGCACTTTGGCATTATGTAATTAAAGTAACAATGTTTTTTTAGAATTATTAAAGATAACCTTTAGAATATCATTCCCACAGTAATATTTGATTTTTCAATCACAATGGTACATATTCAAAGAGCAACTCACACTCTTGTAGTTAAAATGTAATTTTCACTCTGACTCTTTAAGGAGAAATTTCTCTTGTCCCAACAACTTTAAACAATGATGAAATAACTGAATAGTCTTTTTCTCCGAGCCTAGCAGCATCTAATTTACTTACAAATGACTGCACATTAAAAGTACAAATATGTATTTTTTGCTTCAATAAGAAAGCATCACTTAACAGACAAAAACATTTAAGCTCTAAATTTTTTATTAATTAAATATGCAAGGTCAAGAAATAATATAGAATCGTCTAGAAATTCAAGCTTATAGACAGTAACTAAAGAGGATAAAATGCCCCTGAAAGAGTATACAGGGACATTACTTAAGTGATTTACTTTCCACCTTCCTAACACAAAACTGATATATCTCATGAACATAAAAGCTCAATAACATCAAGGTTAATTTTAACTGTAGGCAGTGCTTGAAGTAGGCTAAAGAAGATGCTGATTTACTTTGTGCTTATCTATACCTATATAACACCTATGAGATTCTTACCCTGCTATACATGTGCACACATATTTATACAATACATGATCATGAATGCTGCACACATGTATCTATGCATAATGCCCAAACTGTACCTATAAGTCAATGGCTGCCAATAAGAAGAGAAGGGTTTTTGTAGCTTGGTCATTTTCTAGATGTTAGACTTCTTTCTCTATTATTCCCACCCCTACCACTACATATACTGCATCTGTCACCTAGAAAGCAGAAATAAAAATTGGGCTAGAGAAGAGGGTACAGCAGCCCTAAATCAGTAAGGGAATCATCCAAACTCTAATACAGATAAATGAAAAGGTGACAATATTTGGGGCCATTTAAAAATAATGTACTCACGAATATGTCCATAATATCAGTAAAATTTCTCTTTAAGAAAAACCAAATAGGAACAACAAACTTACAAAAAACTATAAGGCAGGAAATTTTAATTCTACAAAAGGTTTCATACATTCCAACTTTGCAAGGACTACCATTATTTTATTTCTTCCTTTACAAAAATCCTAAGCTGCTTTTATATTCTGGTAATGTTCCAAAAAATCTTACCACAAAACAAAAAAAGAGTTCTTTCACTCTACTCTGTGCAGAAAAAAATTTTAAAACAGCTCTGGCATAAGAATAATTTACATCATGGAGATTTTTTTCAAATGAATATCAAGAATTTTACAAATGTCTTATTCTGTATTTCTAAAAAGTGAATTACAATGGTATGAATTGTCTGAAGTCTCACAAGGAATCAGGGAAAACCCAAAAAATAAAATTCAAGTCCAATTAACTGTGAAGACAGTAATCTGGCCACAAGGCAGTATATCTCAGTTACCAAGAGTGATTGTTTATCTAAAACAGCTGTAGAATTAAATCATGTTATACCATAACAATAAAGTAATACCATTTCTGAGTAGTATGAAAAGGAACATGAATTCACTAAATCCCCATTGTTGCAGTCCACAGCATGTTTCTTTGTATTTAGTGATACATACATTTCCACCACTTTTGTACATATAGCACAGTGTCTGGAATACAGTTGGCATTTAGTAATATGGGCAAGTACATGGATGTAAAACTTCATAAACCTATACATATCTCCTCTCAACCACTAAAGCAAATCATGATGAGGACCTCTGAACTTCATTACAAAGCCAAACCTACATATTAAAGAAAAATAAAAATAGCATCAAGGGAGGCTTCTCTGATGATGGCAGAGATGCTCTAGATCAGTGGTGGCAAACCTATGCCATATGTGCCACAACTAGCTGTTTGTTAACACTGAAAGCTCTAAAAGGTTCGCCATCATTGCTATAGATATAATCTTATCTGCTAGAGAAAAAGTGTTTAGATTAAGGTAGTCAAGAATGAATTCACATTATTTAATTCATTCTTGGGTTTGCCCTGATTCCTTGTGAGACTTCAGACAATTCATACCGTTGCAATTCACTTTTTAGAAATACAGAATATTTAATTCAACATTCTGTCACTTCTATGTGCTGACTTCCCCCAGTGGTATATTATTTTAAATAATTCTTGTTTCTTGATTCTCAAATCCATCCTCTGATGTCCTAATCACTTGTTAGCAGTTAAATATGAGTGCACTGAAATTGAAATAAAAGGAGAAATACATTCTAGTCAGTTCTTCTTATTACTTATTAACAGCTTTTACGAGGTTCTCTGGTGAGGTAGTAAGATTTTTTTAAAAAATGACCAAATACAGTAAGGGTGTTATAACAACACATGGAACTTTGTTTTTTTAAAAAATAGTTTTATTGATATCTCATTGTTCAACAGTGAGGTTTATTTATCCACGAGAATGTGTTGAAGGAGTTACTTTCTGGGCCTAGTTTTTAACATCTCAGGAATTAACTTCAATATTCTTTTAAAATTTTCTATAATCTTACCTCCCAGTCCAAATAATCACAGACATCTTCAAAGTTAGTGAGCAGAGACACTGAGCAGAAAAGCCGTGGCAGCTCATCCCTTGTCATTGGGGGAAAACGGCTATCTTTAAGGGCACTGTTGAAAACAAAGAAAAATATTAAAGCAATTACTAGAGAGGAATTTTCTAATTTTAAATGTAGAAAATTGTTAGAAAAAACGTGAGATTAAAAAAGAAACAGTAAAATATTAAAGATGCCAAAAATCTTCAAATGTAATTAAAGTCTCCAAAGATTTTAGATTTTCATTTAATAGATTGTTTGCCAGCAATTCTTTTTTTTTTTTTTTTTTTTTTTTTTTGTACCAGGGATTCAACTCGGGTCCTTGAGCTTGCAAGGCAGGCCACCGAACTGCTGAGCTAAAACCCCGGCCCTGCCAGCAATTTTTGTGACTACTTCAACTGCAAAGAGTGAATGATCAATTAAATTTTCTGTATAGCCATCTCTTGATGTCTTTCTGTATTACTTGCAGAATCTCAAAATATTTTATTTTACTTTGAGGAAAATAAAAACCAAACTAGCGGAAACTTGTTGGAAGACCACTGGATCTAGTGTTGGTGGGGGCAAAACCACACAATCACATTGTAAAAATAAAAAGAACTTTATACTAGGTTTACCAGTTGCCACAGAATGGCACTCAAAGAGTTAAAAAAGATCAAAATTTCATTTTCTTTAAGCCAAAAAAAAAAAAAATCAAAGAACATGAAAATCATCCAAATTATAGACTAAAAATACAAGGATTTTACGGCCTTTGTAAAGGCTAACTTAAAATATGACTCAAAAATTGTGAAACTATAGGAAATAAGGCTAGTCTAAGAAATAAAAGTATGATTATAAGACCATTAATCCACCAGCAGATTTTTGAGTACATCAATTCTGATTGGCTCTTTATTCAAGCATTTTATATTATATTACAATGCCAAACTCTGGAAGAACCTCACTGTAAAAGACAAAAATGCTGGAAGGCCATAAATCTTCCTACAACTGTACAACAGACAAATCTCATACACACACACACACACACACACACACACACACACACACAGAGGCACTGTGTGTTCCTTATACTTTTATAAGAAACTACTTCCTGATCATGAAAAACAAACACACCACTGATTGTCCACTATATTAATGGTGCTACTGGTATTCATGTCATTCATCTTCGAAGTCTTAAATGGCAGCCAGACTTAGAAAATATTTTCACAGCTTAATCCTTAGAGGTTAGAAACTTAAACCAACGACTTAAATCATAACAAAGTTTCATGGCCTTTGGATATTCTGAAGCTCACCTATTGTGTTTCTATTTTCACTGCCTTTTGGTATATACTGCATCCTGATCTACAAAGGAAAAGGCTGCTAGGAAGATATAACAATGTTATAGATTTTTAAAGGAAATGTTTTCTTCATTCAAAAAGCCAAGGTTAATCAAGAAAATCAGGAAATTGTGATAACGTATACTCTGAAAACTGTACTTTACTATTTTATAATTTAGCAACATAAATCTCTATAGTTTGGTTTCTTTTATTTTCCTACTGGCAAATAAAGTTTTTAAAAATACCTTCATGTTCTCATTTAAAGCCAAGATAAAGACACTGTATAACCACTTCCTTTACACACACACACACACACACACACACACACAGACACCTGAGTGAAATTCTAAAACATAATCCAGAAGAGCTCCATAAAAAAGCTCGTAAAAAGATCAATCACATTTTTAGTTTTCCTGTTAAAAAGAAAAGGTAAAAGTACTTGTATGTTCGAATAATATATAGTTTTGTGTCATAGATTATTGTTAATATATACATAAAACTGCAAACATATAATTACATAGGATTAAGTACATTCACACTGTTATGCACCCAGCAGCATCATCTAGCTCCAAAATTTTGCATATTTCCCAACTAAAACTGTACCCATAAAACACTAACTGCCCATTCCTCCCCTTCCTCAGCCCCTGGCATAAAATGATTTACATATATTTTTATATATGTAACTTCCAAACAGTTATAGTAATACTAGCACTAATGTTTTAATACAGAATAGCCTCATTGAGTTTTAATTTACATACCCCTAAGTTTACTCCTTGAAAGCATACAATTTAATGGTGAGTATCATCACCACTAAATATCAGAATGTTTCATAACCTTAAAAAGAAATCTCACATCCATTAGCAATCACTGCCCTCTCCTCCCATCCCTAGGTTCCTGATGATCACTAATCTAATTTTTCTGTTTTTATGGATTTCCCTATTCTGGAAGTTTTTTATAAGTGGAATCATATAACAGTATTGTCTCGTCTCTGACTTCTTTCAATTAGTATAATGTTTTTAGGATTTACCTATATTGTAGCATGTATCAGTACTCCATTCGTTCTAATGCCTAGTAACTTCCTATTGTATGGCTATACCATATTTTGTCATCTGTTTATAAATGGATGAACATATGGGCTATTTCTATATGTTAGCTATTATGAATAATTCTGCTATGAACATTTGCATGTAAGGTTTAGTTAGGGCATGTTTTCATTTCTCTTTGATAGATACCTAGCAATGAAATAATTGGCCATGGCTATATGATTCTACATCCTCATCCTACAATGTATGAGGATGTTAAATTTTTCAATGTCCTCACCAATGTTTGTTACTATGTGTCGCCCCCTCTCCTTTTGCGGGTGGTGATACTAGGAGTTGAACCCAGGGCCTCATGCAGGCTAATCAAGTGCTCTACCACTGAGCTATATCCCAGCCCATTTTAAAACTTTTTATTTTGAGACAAGGTCTCACTGTGTTTCAGGGCTACCTCTGACTTGAGATACTCCTACCTCAGCCTTCCAAGTAGCTAAGATTAAAGGCGTGTTCCACCACAACCAGCTTGTTTGTCTTTTTACTATAGTGCTAGACCTCCTTTAATTCAGCTCTTTTAATAACTACCTCTAGCTTTTTTTATTGATTAAGTTTATTCATACAGTTTAGGTATACAGTATGATGACATTCATCTTTGGAAATGTGTACCTTTAGATGATATATTTCTTATTTTTTCTCCACTCCCCTGCCCTCCCTTCAACCCCTCCCTGCCTCCCTATTTACAAAGACTTTCTGTTTTTTTCTTTCTCATATTTATTCCTTTCCCTTCTTTCCTTTCTCCTACCCTTCCCTTTTTTCCCCTTCCCCTTTGTGCCTTTTCTTCCTATTTCACATTATCTATTATACATTTTGATCCTTATTTATACTTTCAGTTTCTCACACCAGAGAAACTATCTGGTATTTACAAATGTGTGTCCTATTTATTTCACTTAAGAGTATGGGCGGCTTTTTTATTACAGTAATACATGTAAACTGGGTGTGGTAGTGCATGCCTGTAATCCCAGCACTCAGGGGGCTGTGGCAGCGGGATAATCATGAATTCAGCTTCATAGTGTGCTCAATGCCAGCCTGAAATACATGGCGAGACTCTGTCTCAAAAAAATAAATAAGTGGGATGAGGATTTAGCTCAGTGGTGCTATGGCCTGCCTTGCAAGCACAAGGTCCTGAGTTTGATCCCTGGTACCTAAATAACTAAATATAAATAAATAAACAAACAAACAAAACAGTACATGTATTGAAGTCCTCATAAATTTAATTTCTTAATAATTTGAATTAAGCTATCATTCTGTTTACTTTATTCTGCAAACAAGTCAATGAATGGTTAATTTTAGCCCTGTGAAATTCAACCTATCTCAAATCGAGGAAAATTCCAGGTACCTAAAATGTGTAACAGGATTAAGCTAGCAAGCTTTTTCTCATGATGTAGAGCTTTATTGCTCTATCACTAGACTTTCAAAAACCAAGGATATTTGGAAAAATAAGTAAGGGAGAAATGCTAGTACAGTTAATGGGAGAAAATCACAATGATGTTTTACTATACCAAGATTCAAATGTATTGACTTGAAAGCTCTGAAATAGTAAAGGGCCATCAGTCATGATAGAGTCTAATTGTACAGACACATTCATGTAATTTATTCTTGCATTTTCATTCAATACTAAGTAACTTTTCATTAAACCCATAAATATAGAAAGATTCCAAAGGTAGAAAGCCCTCAAAGTCTGTAAATGTAAATTCCCCAGCAAACAAACTAGCAATGAAAGCCTAGCAAGGATTTAAGGGATTAAAAAAAGATGAAAATGCAGCTAGAGACTAACCTCTGAGTTGCCAGGCTGGTATGGACAGCTGATAAACAACAGAATTCAGCTTCCCTCAGCCAATCTCTTTTTAGCATAGAGAACTGTTAAAGCTGAACAGTTAGGATATACAGTTCAAAGTTGGGCAGTTACTTGTGCTAAGTGACCCAGCTGAGTTAATGAGAGACAAAGAGAGGAATCAGTATGGAGATTCCTCAAAAAACTAAAAACAGAACCCAGACGTTCTGACTGAAGTTCAAATTCTTTCTAGTATCCACACTTTAATTTTTATTTTTAATTGGATTATGTTTTTTAATTTAAAAATAGTTGCCTTACTTGGCAGTTCTGATCTTATACACACATTGTCGCTGTTTAAAGATAATAAATAATAATTCAAAGTATTCATTAATAGCCAAAGGGTAAACTGAGCTAGATTTCTTGTCTATTGAAAATCTGCAGGAATAATAAAAATTTTAAAATATTATTGTGCATAGAAAGCATCTTATACTAAAGTAGTACTCTGCCAATTTAAATTCCAGTCTAAAAAATACACAAGGATCTTGTAGTAAATTAATATTAAATTATCTTTGCTAGACTAGGAAGCCATTTTCTATGTTTAAATATTACTAGCAAAGAACAAAAAAACAAGAAAACTTTTGTACAAAACAAGTCAGCTATTCTATCACACTGCTAGTTTAAACCAGGCAAAGTTGAAACAACAATTTAGTTCACAAACCAAATTCAACTCTATTCAAATTGGCACCTTTCCAAGAATACACTTCACCTAATTGAGATGCAGCCTTAACATCTGTCAAAGTTAATATCTACAATGAGGAAAAAAAAAAAACAAAGTTAATGTCTAATGTTAAATAGCACTTTAATGAAAATGCGTATTTTGAGAAAAGAAGTAAGAATTTAG